CTTGGCTCCAGGCCAACTCTTTCTTACTTGACCTCAGCGTGACTCATAAGTGGTCCATGATTAATTTATTTAAGATTTAAGAACAAGAATGAGAAATTAAACAGTTCTACTCCACAGATTTTTGCTTTGCCTCTAGCAAATTAATCAAATGAGGGTCTAATTTGTTTTAGATTAAATGAATTCCCTCTGTTCGCTGTGTTAATCCCCAGCTGAACTGCCTTTTTGTAATTCCCACTCCCTTGAAGCATTGTACTGTATCTTATTTAACTCTACAACTGTATTTATTAGAGGTGGTGTAGTAATAACTTCTGACTGCAGGGCAAGTGGAATTTGGCGTTGGTATTTGGTGGGGCATAGCTGTTGCCAAAATACCTCAAAGCTTTTTTTTTTTTTTGACCAGTACTCTTGCTGTGCACTGACTCCCAAGATACCTGATGTATTGCTGCTCAGCTACAATGAGACACTCATTTGTAGCATTCTGCTGTAATCTCCCCATGACAATCTGTTGTAGCATCCAAGGAGACTCTTGTAAACCTGATGAAACAGGAGATCTCTGGTGGTCCTTCCCCTACACAGTTAAATACAATTGGTTGCTCACATATGTTTCTGTTCTGCCCAAAGTTCACCTTTTTTATGGACCTTCCTTCTGCCAGAGTTCTGTAGAAGTCGATGGAATAATAAACCAGCTTTTCATGTTTCTTTGTCTTTCTTATTCTGGATTCCCTTTTTTTTTTGAGTCACAGCTGAGACCTCGATAGAGCATCTTATAACTAAATTATGGTTTGTCTTCCCAGCACTAAAGAGTTAATTCTTCTGTCTGGGACATAACAAGAGATTCTGTTTTATTGTCTGCTTCAAGGAGGAGTCTGGCCTTTATATTTTTCACCCATGAAAATAAGCCTTGCTTGTGTATTAATGTATATGTATGTAACAGAAATACTTGCATTCATTCCAGTCATTCTCTTTGTAACTGAGAAGGGCTGGATTTAAACTAAAGAAAAATACTTCTAACTTAAAGTTTTCACAATGTCAAACAAACTCCTCCTGCACCAGTTTCAAACTCAATCAAGTATGGGCACCACTGATGTGAAAACAAAATTTCCTTTTCTAAGATCAGCCAGTGGTGCTCAAAACTCATGAATTTCTGCCACATCGATTTCTGATACTGCTTTTAAAAGTGTAAGTTATTAAAACGTGCTGGAGGTTTTCTCACTATTTGCTTTCCTACTTGGTGTGTATTTTCTTAACCTCTGTAATTCATAACAGATCATGTTTTCATAGTTTTCTCTAGAAAAGCTGTTGCCTTTTCAATGAAAACTTAGGTTCTTTTGTATTTTCCCAATGCAAAGATATCAGGAAGCTTTGAGATTTTTGTAGAATTTGTGACAAAACTTTAATATTTCCAGCAGTGGAACAGAGGGCCAAATTTCTCCTGCCTCTAGTGAGAGCTATAGTGCCCAAAAGGCATGAGAGGAGGAGGCTGGGTACAGGGCTTTGCCTGGGGACTTAAATTTATAGACTTGTTTGTCAACTTCATTTTTAATATTTCAAATACAGATTTCTTCTGTAGTAGGACTTTCAACCCATCTTAGTGTCTTTTTCCAAAATGCTGTTCATTTCTGAATGTTTAATCTAAGGTTGCTTTATTAATTTCTTCCTTCTTTATTTTTCTTAAATTTGTTACATTACAGTTAATATTGTGAAATGTATTTGCACATGATTTGAGCAAAGTGCCTAGTGGCAGTTGTGACTGAAAGACCGCTGAGCTTTGTCTATTAAATAATTTTCATAGACTTGCCCTAAAATACATTGCTGCCCCTTGCAAGACCAACTCACAGGGACTGAAAAATGTCTTATGTGATGTTCGAGATTTTAGTGAGCAGGGAGCTGGGTCACTAATTGACAAAACTGTCCTTGCCCATCTCCACTTCTTTGTTTCAAACACCACAAGTGCCCTTCAAAATTAGGAGATTAATAAATAAAGTATCCAAAGCTTAAGAAAAAACTCCATCCCTAGCAAGAACAACATGCAGTGCTGCGAATACTGAAAAGCATATATTTTTATTTTAAAACTGCGTATAGAAATATCTAAAATATATGTATATAAAAATATATATGTTGCAAATATTGAAAAGGCCAAAGAAACAACAATGTGATTATAAAAGCGTGACCAGAGGTCAATGCAATTGGGCAAAGCATGAAAAACAGGACAACTAGGGAAGAGGTTGGCAGCCTGGGAGGAAGGTCTTGGAGATGTGGAGTGGGATGAAGCCACAGGATTTAAAGATGGCCTGACTGTATACATCAATATGAATTAGATAAGCCAGGTTACACTCCTGAGAAACAAAGGAGGCAATTGTGTTACAGCCTGATAGCAGGAGAGGGCAGGAAGCTAAGGGCTCTGGAGCAGATATTTTGTGCAGCATTTTATCTTTTGTACAAGAGGGAAAGATTTTTCCTGAGTAGCTCACTGCTAGGATGAGGAATTTGGTTGTTGATGGTTTATTAGTATTTGTCGTGTTTTGTTGGGTGACCTTGTCTTTAGATAACATTCAGTACAATTGTGAGAGTTTGTTTGGTTTGGTTTTTTTAAAGGTTTCTTTCTGCCTTCAAAACGAGCATGTGTTTGTTTTGCCTGAGAAGCATCCACTGGCTCTTCCACTTCTTAAATGTTCATCTGAATTGGAGGTGTAGCTTAAGATGTGGACAGGAGCACCGCTGGCAGTAAGCAAAATGTGTTACTGGTGAAGAATATTTTTTTAGCTGTTCTGTCAATAGTGTCGTCTGAGTAAAGGATGATGTTCTGCAAAATGATGTATTTCATGGACTCCTCTACTGCTTCAGGCAAAGTCTCCCTCAGACTTCTGTGTGTGGCACCTTGCAGGTCAGAAGGAGGAACAAGTCAGTTTTCCTGCTGGACATGCACTCAAATCATTTAGGCTTTGTTGAGCCTGACTGCAGACTGAATCTTTACCTTTGAATTCATATCCCCAGGGCTCTGCGGTGGCCCAAGTGAGCTGTGGCAGCAGTTAGCACAGTTTCATGATGCAGAGGAGTCTGATCATGTACACTAAGTCTGTGGACAAAAAAGGTCTAACTGAGCACAGACTTCTCACTCCATCACATCTGTTGGTCTGCATTTAGCTTGCTTTTCCACCGCCGGTCATTAAGTGTTCCCTTCTGGTGAACCCCTTGACTGGCCCTTGAGCTTCTGTTTCCCTTGCTCCCCTCAAGTCAGGGAAAGGCCTGGATGGAAAGGTTGCAAGCTTCCTCAGCATCCTGTGCTGGAATGGTGGCACAAGGTGACCAGCAGCTGCTGAAGCACCTGGGGGTGCTGAATCAGCCTCCCTGCCAGTGCAGTGCAAACAAAAGCCCAGAAGAAGTTGGGGTTTGGACAGCAGGGATTGCCATGAGATGCCAGCAGCGTTTTTCACAGCATGGAGGCAAGGCTTGCCTGCATGTTTGTGCTGGGAATCACAGCAGAGACAAGTGTTTCTTCAGCATGGCAGTGGCCTAAGAACCACCGGCTGCTACTTGGGAAGCCATGTCCTAGGTCCTGTTTAAAGAGAGTCACATGGAGGCTTCTCCCAGTGTAAAAATGGTGTGTGTCGGAGAGGGAATGGATCTACTCTGCTCCCTCTGGGCAATAGGGAAATGGGAGAAGAGCAGCCTGGGTTGTGCTGCCCTCCCTGGCAGTTGGTTGCTTGGTGCAGAGGCTCTGCTGATGATAATGCAGAGCTTTTGCCTTTCCTGTTGGTAGAAGGAAGCTGAACACACGAACACAAACATATCCTTTTTTTTTTTTTAAAGAAGTCGAGGGTGTATTTCTTTTGCTGATGCCAGCCTTTTCCTTTGCTGCTGGAATGGAGAGGATAGAAGGAAGAGGAGAGAAATGAAGCTTCTGACAAAATAAAATCATGATTATTAGCATATTACTGCTTGCTAACATAAAGATGAGATCAAAAGGCTTAATGAAGTCAATCATAGAATATCCTGAGTTGGAAGGGACCCACAAGGATCATCAAGTGCAACTCCTGGCCCTGCACAGGGCAGCCCCCAGAATCACGTCATGTACCTGAGAGCATTGTCCAAATGCTTCTTGAATTCAGGTGGGCTTGGTGCTGCGACCACTTCCCTGGGGAGCCTGATATTTTCCTAATATCCAGCCTGCTGTGACACAGCTTCATGTCGTCCCCTTGCGTCCTGTCACTGGTCACCACAGAGAAGAGATCAGTGCCTGCCCCTCCTCTTCCCCTAATGGGGAAGCTGTGGGCTGCGATGAGGTCTCCACCCTTTCTCCCTTTCTCCAGGCTGAACAGACCAAGTGACCTGAGCCACTCCTCATATGGCTTCCCCTCTAGACCCTTCAAAATCATCACCATCTTGGTTTTTATTTTTCTCATCTGTTTGAGTTTATCAGTTCTGTTTCCTATTTTTTATTGGATCTTGCATCTTCAAGTCAAGCTAGTGCCCATAGGAAGTGGTGGATGGATGGACAACCATCCCCTCTGACTCCTCTCTCATTACTTGGCATGGCTATGTGTGGCACCTTGTGTAAAAGGCCAAACTGGTGCATGTGTAGCCTGAGCCCAATGCCTGCACAGCCCGGGCAGCTGGCTGGAGTGAGTGCTGTGATCTGGGTGAGCCTGCCCAAGCAGCATGCTGGTGACAATTGTGGCTGTCATTGTGATGAGGGACATTTCTACTCTGCTCTGTACTTAATTGGCCAAGCAGGCCTCACGGTAGCTGTCTGGTGATAAATCTGCACAATTTGTAATCTGGAGTTCTGCTGGGGGTTCTGGTTAGGGGAAGGGCTCTGAACTGCCTTCTCTACTTGAAGACAGAGGTGGGAATATGAGCAACAGAGAGGAAGATCAGTGACATGCCTAACAAATCAATTAAAGTTACATTAATTCATGAACATTTAAGTGTAAAAACTTCTTCCCATCTTTTTCCAGTGGTAGTAGTAATAATCTGCTGCTGTGTCTTTCTTTCTCCAGACGATTTTGCAGAGGAGGAGGAGGTGCAGTCCTTCGGCTACAAGAGGTTTGGTAAGTGGCAGCAGGTCTTTCATCTTGCTATCGCGTAGTGCTTAGGGTGAATCAAACACCTGCTATGAAAATCTTCCTTCCTGGCAGCATCAAAACATACAGGTACAGTCCCATCATCTACTTTAATCCAATATCTTCCCAAAGGAAAGTGTGATTTTTAGACTTGATTTATTTTCTTGGCAAACATAAGGCTTCAGAAATAACGGTGATCAGAAGCAAGCATGGTTTGTTTCATTATTTGATCATTAGCATAATGAAACTGAAGCCCACACCTGATCAAAAATGAATGTGCATGCTGTAAAAGTGGGTCAATGCCTCTTACATGTCCTCTGCCCAGCTGGGCACTGCTTCACCCCACACATGGATGTGCAGCAGGTTTATAGGTGTTCCCAAGAGTGGTTGCATGGGACCTTCTGTAGACTTGCAGAAGTTGTACCGCCAGCTGGGCCAGGACATACGCTGTGGACTCCTCTCAAAAGAAAAGTATATGGTATGGATGCATTCTGATGTCAAAAAATATTAGAATGAGCTTGGTTACTTATTTCCTTTTTCTCCTTTCCTTTTTTTTTGACGTTTGTTTACCCCAAATGGCTTTCTCATGTGAGGAAGGCAGTGCCACGCATCTGTGCGCAGCAGGTCAGCAGCTTTCAAGGCCCCTCTTTTCAAGGCTCTTGTGATCTCTTTCTCTCAGGAAAACGTTTCAGTCTCTGCAGTCAACAGCTTCACCCAGGGCAGGCTGATGCCTGTCCCTGTGACAAGGGGAAGGTGACATGGTGGCCTCTGAGCTCCCACAATGCCAGCTCTATCTTGGAGCAGCCAGAGAGGCTCATCATCCAAGCTGCTAGCTGCCTTTTCAACTGTAAGCTATCAGGATAATAGTTCACCTTATTTTTTATCTCCTGGGAAAGTGGCTGCAGCAAGAGTCACTTTCAATGACCCCACTTGGCAAGCAGATGGGAAAGGCAGGCTGAAAATAAAAAATGAAAAATAAGTCAACAATTCCTTACATCCCAAAAGGAGCAGGGGGAGGCAGCATGAGGAGATGTGGCATTTGGGAGGTGGGAATCACATTCGCATGACCTTTTCTACCCCCTGAACTACTCCACTGCACCCTGCTGTTGAGCTTTATTTTGGATAGATCAGCCAACCACAGAGCCAGCATCTGTGGCTTGGAAAGTCCTGCCATAAGGCTGCGCACAGGGTTTTTTCCTACTTTTTTTTTGTTGTTGTTGTTCTGGATTAAGCCCCGTAATAGCAAAAAAGAAAAAAACCTTGAGAAATAGGAAGAGATGTTAACTGTTTATTTCTGTCACCTCCAGATGAGTAAAAAAAATTAAGATCATTAACAACTATAGAAATAGTTTCCCTCTGTGTTGTCCTCTACCTAGCTATCCCTGGTGAGCATGCTCTTGCAGTGGACAGTGAAAGGATTTAGCAAGGAGCAGGTACTCCATTATCCTTACTATCCCAATAACAAGTGCACTGTTGTGGCATGGTGGGATTTTTGCATATTAGCTGGCTTTCATTTCTTTCTTCCTCACGGATATTGTGATGCTACAGAAGTGAGTTATTTCTCCCCTTAGAAATGCAAGAGCATTTCCAGAAATGCGTGTGCTCTTGCACTTGGTGGGGCAGTGTGGAGGGCGCAGAGAGCCAGCAGCCTGGCAGCAGTGGGAGGAGATTTCACCACAAGAGGAGCAGTCAGGATAGTTCCACCCTTAGCTGCCATATTCTTCATGAAAACGATGTCGCTGTTGTCAGGGAGGTGTCCCAAATGTCTGCAGTACAGAAGAAGGGCCTCGACCAAAGGGAGAATGGGATCATGAAGCCATAGGATTGGCACTGGTGAGAGTTGTGTAATTCAATAGTGTTCCAATTCAAGAAGTCTTCTGTCCATACTATTTTGGAGCCTGAACTTCTTCCAATACCCCCTTCCTTATCTTTCCCAGCATCATGGGGCAGCAGAGGGAGAAGCTAGGCTGACCTGGTTTCCATACGTACCTGCACCAGCATCCTGGTGTTCATGCTTTTTTGTCCCCTAAAGGGGTTATTTCCCCTTCTTCTGAAAACCTGACTCTGTGTTCCCATTTCTAACATCCCTGATGCATTTCCAGGCAGTCTCTGAGCAACCTCTGAAGTGAGTGGGACTCACGTGCCTTCAACAGTGCTGGCTGCTCCACCTGGCACTGGGGTCCTCCATGCAGGAAGGTGACCTGCACATCTTTTAAAGACTCCAAATTCAGTGGGCAGCTGAGTCAGCATTTCCAGTGAAGTACCAGGGTTTGTTCTTGGGGCCAGAATACAGCAGAGTAGTTTGAGCTCCTACCTGACCAGTAGAAAATGTTATTCCTCCTGTCACAGTTGTGTTCTGTTCCCTCTTGGCCCTGTGTCCTCACTGATAAAAGGCAGCAATATGGAGGAACCCCAAGGCAAGGACCAAGTTTTATTATACAAACGTCGATAAAAGGTCATTTTAAAGGAGTCCTGTTCTGTCTGGTTGCTGGCATTGTAGAAATTTCAGTTTTGTTCCTGTACAGCCTGCTGGTGTGGGCAGCGATGAGAACAGCAGCGGGGTTTTTGTTTCAGGAGCCACAGTGTAAGAGCAGTTGTGTTAATATATTGTGACTGGAGCAGTCCTTGAACATGCCATTGACATGAGACATGGTAGGAGGGCCATGACTCAAGTACCTTTGATTCCGTCGTTTGGAAGTGGGAGCCCATGTTTGGAGCAAAACGTGCTCTGAAGGGGAGAAGGCTGAAGCACAACTGTTTTGTGAAAAACATGGCTAGCAGTGAGTCACTACTGGCAGCTGGGAACATGTGTTGGTCAGCATTTGGCAGGCAAAGCCTTGACCAAACTGCTTTCCTAGAGTTCAGCTGAAAAGTTTATTATTAGCTGCCTTGTTGCTGGAGCCTGTAGTTTGGTTCAAGGAAGGAAGAGATCAGCAGAAGGAGGGAAGGAGAGAGGCATTCTCCAAAAATTCTCGTTTTGGGGAAGAAGCTTTTGCAAAGAGGACTGAATACATACTGTCTTGCACCACTTTGCCTTTTTCTGAATCATTCTGTCCTTCCTTCTCAGATGAGTTAATTTCCGAGAATTTATCATGCTAATTTATTTTTTAGTCAGTAGAACATTAACTGGTCATAGTAAGCCAAACATACTAAGCATAACACACTATCATATTAAAGAAAAATGACTACAGATGCAGACAAAGATCCTAGGAAAATACATACCAGCATTTTTTCTTTTTTGAGCCTGGGACAGATTGCTGCAGGGGGTCAGGGAGGATGAGGAAAGCAGTCTTTCCAGCTGACTGATGCTGTTTACTTCTTTCCAATGGATGCTACAGATGTGCAGGGACACTGCCAGAAGTGTGATGCTCAGCTGCAATGCCTCCAGACTGCTGCATTGAAAAAGTGAGGCAGCGTGTTTCTTATCCCTGCTACTTCATCATCAGTTACTACTCAGGCTGCTTTGAAGTTATCTGCTCCAGATAGCAAGCTAAGCCTCTCCACTGATTTTCCTCTACCAGATTGCCACCAATGCTAACTCTTTCATCAATCAGTCTCACTGGTTTGCACCACCCCACATACACTCCACTTTGGGAAAGAATGAATAAAAGAGCAAAACTTCCCTTTCAATATGACATGCTTTGGGGATGCTAAATCTCAGGCATGACAGCTCAGACTAGTTTCTAAATTGGTGGTAGAAGGATGAGATCTCTTTATGGCAGGGGTTGACTCTTCCCTCTGAAATTTGGGCTCTGGTCATCACCACAGGCATGGGAATTGAAGGGATTTGATGGACTCCAAGGCTGAAGATCCAATATTCCTGGCTCATGGCATTTCGAAGGAATAGAGATCGTTGTGCATTTTCTTTTAGAACTTAAAATCTGCGCTTTACTGAATAGAGTCTTTAATGTAGAATTTTCACAGTGAAATTATTAATTGCATAATTTGAAGCGACACTACAATATGGAATAGCTGAAAGCAAGGGGGATGGTCCTTGAACCTCCCAAGGAATCAGAAGATAGGATCAATACACTATAGATAAGTAGAAGACTACACAGCTTGAGTAAGATAATTACCCTTTGCCCTTGGCAAACACAGCCAGAATTGAAGGCTATAAGCCTGTCCTTGACAGAGGCACCCTTCTTGGTCATCTCCATGCTCTAGATCATGAGTCAGAATCCTCCTCAGCTTCACCTTTCCTCTTCCCTGCTGAGCTGTCGATAGGAGACGGTCTCTCATGTCCCCAGGCAGGTCCAGTGTGCACCAAGGTACTGGTCCTCCAGTCTTCCCCACACCCTTTAGATCAACAGCTGACAGGGAAGGAGGGATAAAAATTACTGGGGGGCCCCCTCAAGGAAGGTAGATACTTCTTTAGTTATCTTTAGTAGGGTATATGAGAGATGACTGGGTCAGGATGGCTCTTCTGTGCAGTTATGAAAGTCTAGCTCCTGAGCATCATTCCAAGTGTGAGAATCAAATCTAGGAGTTTCTGGACCAGGATTGGATAAATCATCCTGCCACATAGTGATGAAACCTGCTATTAAAAATCTCCTGATGAGTGGCATGGGAGCAGCTGAACTAGATCCATTCAATAACTGTTTTCTCACTATACATTGTTTATAGTATTCTACACAGGGAGAAGCTGTATATTATTTCTTCACCTTTGATAGAATACAACTAGGAGGTTTTAGGAGTGTACAATTAATAAAAGCCTTGTGAATGGTTTACAGCACAAATGAAAACATTTAAAAAATAGTGGGAGTTTTGTGCCTATAAATGTTCAAACATGACCACGGTAAGCAAAATTCATGGCTCAGAATTTTGTGATAGTTCAGGAAAAGCATTTATTCATTAACACTGAACAGAGAGAATAATTCTTGTCCTTATACAAGAATTATTGTGTGCTATACCCACACAAACCTTAAGCCCCTAACAAAACAAAGAAAAAAAATCCTAAACTTTAGGAATTTGTCAACTTTTCTTTATGG